AAATGTTAAATATTTTTAAATATTAAAATTGACTTTATAAAAAATTAGAAAAAAAAACAATTAATCATAAAATATAATAATAATAAAAATATTATAAAAAGAGTTCAAAAATATATTATAATATTTTTCAGTTGGGTCATGATATTTTGACAACCGTAAGAAAAAACAACTCATTTTATTAATATAATGATCATGAAAGAGATTAAATAAAAATGAAAACAAGTTAAAATTATTATTATAATATTAAAAGTGGGTTGTTTGTTAAAGTTGTATAAAATTGGGTTGTCAAAGTATCATTTTTCTTTTCAGTTTTAGTTTAATTATATTTTTAATTCTCAAAGTAGAAAAATATATTGTAATTATTTTAATTTAATAAAATATAATTTAAATTTTTTATACTAAAATTAAGAGATTAAATAATAATAAATTAAATTAATTAAATTTAGTATTTAGAAACTAAAATTATAGTTTCTCTGTTTTAAAAAATAAAAATAAATATTTAAAAATAAAAAAAAACTAATATTATCTTAAATTTATTAAAAGTATAATTAAATCTCCATTTTCTTATCCAATTTTAGAAATTTTTTTAATAAAAATCCAATATATAAAATAGCTGAAATTTTAAAAAGGTACAGTCTTAACTTACATTAACTATTTTTTTGAAAAATGTGACAAGAAAAATAGGGCTTTAAAAAAATAAAGTTAATAATTTTGAAGTTATTTCAATGATAAAGTTTCCAAATGTGATCTATGTATTTATTGAGCAAAATTGGAGGTGTGTTAAATATAGATTTAAATATATTTTTGATTTATTTAAGTATAGTTTATTTTTAGTATTTATAAAATGAATTAGTTTTAAATTTTTAACTTTTCTAGCAGTCTATTTTTAATCTTTGTTATTAATTTTGTTAAAAATGAAAAATATTAATTAGTATATTTAAAGTAAAAAAATATTTCAACTAAAGATAAATATATTTTTATAAATAATTTAATTAAATAATACATTTATTATCTAATGTATATCAATTATATTTTGATATAATTTTTTTTTCTAGTATATCAATTATATGAAAACAACCATGGTTAAACAATTAATAATAATAATAAAGCAATAAATTTAAAAAATAGATTAAAAATAAAAGATTATAAAATAAAATTTTAATAATTTGATTGATATTGTAATTTTTTTAATTAATTAAGTTAATGAGGAATTAAAATGTGATAATTTGATGTGTTCAATTTTTTTAATATAAATTTTTAAAATATAATTTAATTTCAATTGAAATTTTCAATTAAAAAATATATTAAAGAATATTTGTTATTAAATTTTTCTTCAACAATGTATTGAATAGTTAATATCACTCAAGTTTTAATTTATTATAATTTAAATTTTTAATAAATTTGATTTATTTTTAATAATATTTTTATTTTAGTAATTTAAAATTAAAGTTAATCTTCATTTGGTTAATATTGACACCAAAGTTTATTTTTAAAATATATTTTAAAAAATAAATTGTAAAAAATATACTAAAACAATTAAAGTATATTTATAAAAAATAAATGTAAATATAATAAAAAAATAATGTTCATTAGTAACTAGATTTTAATTTGGTCACTATTTCAATGTGTCATTCGATCGCTAAATCAGTTGCTAAAATAATTTTTTTTTTATTTTTAGTATGAAATAGTCATCGATTTAGAGACTAAAATTTGTGACGCAAACTATTGGTCGCTATTTTGGTCACTAAAAAAAAATGAAATCGAATCATATTTCGGTTGCAAAATCAGTCTCTAAATCGGTCGCTAAATTATGATCGAATTAAATCAGTCACTAATTACGATCGAATTAAATCCCTCACTAATTGTGACCAAATTGAATTACTCACTAATTACAACTGAATTAAATCGCTAAATCGTATCTAATTACAACTAAATTAAATCCATCGCTAATTGTAAAAAGAAAAATTCAACCACTAATTTCGATCGCTAAAAATGTTTTTTTTTCGTGAATATTTATTTTAGTCCTACCATGTTTTTTACTTATATAAGAATCAAACTGAAATATAATTAAATTAATATTTAATTTTCAAACAAGTTTTTTTTTCTTTCAATTTTCCTTTTGTGTCCCTCTTCTTCTTTATTTTGTCAATGTTCTTTTTTTTTTCCTTCAAATTCATTCAAAACACATTTATCATACATTTCCCTTTTTCTTCTTCTTTTCAAAAGCATTTATTTTCGTCTTGTCCCTTTCTTGTTTTCCTTTAAATTTCAATAAAACACACAATTTTTTTTTCTCCCTTTCTTTTATTCGTGTTCCTTCCCCTTCATTATTTATTATTTCTTTTTGATTCATAATATTTTGTTTTCTCTTGGATCCTCAATCATCTTCTTTCTACGAGTCGGTGGGGGAGATGAAACTGAAAATTAATTTTGTTGTGAACTTTCTTCGTCTTCAATATTTGTAAGTTACATATATTGGTCCTTCCAAAAAAAAAACCTAGTTAATTTCAATTTATTCCTTCTATGTACTCATTAATATTTAATTTATCCATTTCTAGTCATTTCCACTACTGGTTGCATCAAATTTCAAACTACATGAGATTGTTGATTGTTACTCTTATAACACAAGCTTTTGTTACATAAATTAAATAAATATTGAAATATAATCCATAGCATTTTAAATGTTAAGGAAAAAGATAATGAAAAATAAGAATGAAGAAAAATAAAATGAAAGAATAAAATTGAGAAAATATATATATATATATATATATATATATATATATATATAAAGAAAAATAGGATTATTTGTTTATTATTTTTAAAAATAAATTTTAGTTTTTTTAATTTTTAAAAATTAAATTTTTTGTTTGGTTTGTTAAAATTATTTCTAAAAATAGTTTATACTTTAGTTTTTTAAATTAAAATTAGAAATAATAAAATTTGAATTTTTCTTAATTTTTAAAATTAGATTTATCAAACACAATTTTTTAACTTATTTTAAAAGTATTTTTTATAAAATTATTTAGAAAAACAAAATTAAGTTAAAAAAGTTTTCAGTTGAAGAAGAAGTAAAACTTATTTAAATAATAATATTAACTTTGATTATATTTCACTTTAATTTTAATATTTTATATATATATATATATATATATATATATATATATATATATATATATATATATATATAATACATGAACATGTCGTCATGCCAATAAAATTAATAATATCAATTAACCTCTTTTATTAAAAGAATTACCGTGAATAACAAATATTATTTTCAGATATTAAATTTAAATTTTAACAAATTTAAGAACAACAAGAACAAAAAAAAAAACTGTACACTTTTAAATAACCAATTAAACTTTATGAAAAAGTTAAGGTTTTTATACAATAATCCAAAGCTTTTGTTTAGTGTAAGAAGAAGCACGTTGGAAAACGCAAATACTTTAAATTGACTATAAAGTCAATCAACCTCCAACCCTAACTTTAAGTGGATAATGCCAATCAAATTTCATAAATTTTTGTCACATTTTTTAAAACAACATTATTTTATTATTACTAACAATAAAATATGAAACGAATGAAAAATACGTAAAAATGGTTTAAATGATCAAATTTGTTAAATTTAAGTAAAATGAGTGAAAATTTTGAATAATAAAATTCACATGTAATAAAATATACAATTAAATAAAAATAGATTTTCTAACAAAATCTTAGAACAAGATTTATAAATAAACAATTTAACTTGATTGAGAAAAAAATTATGTTAGGCATGGATTATAATTTAAATATTTATGAACTACCTTTTAAACAATTATTTTTGTTTTTTATTTAAAATGTGTTGCAATTAGTTACTATGCATTGAATTTGTAAAAATATTTTAAAAAATTTAAATCTAAATGCAACCTAAAATGTTACAAATATTAATAAAATAGTTAGTAATTTGTATACATATACATCACTGGTCAAAATAAATATAGTAAAAGTTTCCCACGAGAGCCACGCGTATTGTTTTATATTATAGTATGAAGAATAGTATAACAGGACAAGTGTTCCAAACACATAATAGCAGGAAATGCATCTTACACCATTCATTTTTTTGTTTGATTTTTATAACAAATTTATACAAAATAAAATTATATATATATATATATATATTTATTTTCTTTCTATTTTATCATATAATTTGTATTTATTTTTTTCTTATTAATTTGGTCTTGGAAATCTGTTAATGTTAATTTAAAAAAAAATCATATATTATAAAATTTTACAGTATATATAAGATTATTAACTTGTTATAAATTCATGATATTTTGAACTTATCATAATAATAAAGTTTTTAACTCTTATAAACAAATATGATGTTATAAACAAATATGATATTAACGAGTGATGCGATCACTTATATTAAACAAAAGACACACAAATAAAATTGCAGGAATGCCTATCCAATGGTAACCGATCCACTTCCATATAATACAAATATTCATGACATATATACTATCAGATTATAACTCAAAATAATAATATAATAATAATTATTATTTTGATTATTAACTGGTAATATTAATTATCATTCCATCGTTATCTTTTATATAATTGCGGACGTGTTCATTTAGAATCACAATTTTCAGAAACACTTATTAATATCAAATATTCATTTGATAATATATTATTTTTAAAATGCCTTATTAATATTATAGTTTATTTAATAATATAATATTTTAACCAGAAAAAAAATATCAATATTTTTATTTTTTTTAAGTATCATTTAGATTTTAATTTTATATAAATATATGAGTTATTTTTCCATTTTAATTTAAGTTTTTCCCACATAATTAACCTTACATGCACATGCAGTTCACGTGTCCTGTTTTGTCTAATAAATTATGCAACAGCGTGCCTCTCGCCGAGACAAAATCATATAAAAAGACACCAACGCACACAATCACTCTCACTTACACACTCTTCACAGGAAGAAGAGAAGAAGAAGAAGAAAAATGGAGACACCACGACCATTGAAAATATACTTCCTCCCATTCTTCGCACAAGGCCATCAAATCCCACTTGTTCAGCTTGCTCGCTTGGTGGCCTCACGTGGCCAGCATGTGACCATCGTCACCACTCCTGCAAACGCCCAACTCTTCGACAAAACCCTCGACGACGACAGAGCCACCGACCACCATATCGGCGTCCACATCATCAAATTCCCCAACACCCACGTCGGTCTTCCGGAAGGCGTCGAAAATCTAGTTTCCGCCACCACCAGCGCCACCGCCGGCAAAATCCACATGGCGGCGCACCTCATCCAGCCTCAAGTTGAAGCTCTCCTCAAAGAATCCCCTCCCGATGTCTTCATCCCTGACATCCTCTTCACCTGGAGCAAAGACTTGTCCAAGCGTCTTCAAATCCCGAGGCTCGTCTTCAACCCTATATCCATTTTCGACGTGTGCATGATCCAGGCTATTAAAACCCACCCCGAAGCCTTTCTCTCCGATTCAGGTCCCTACCAAATTCCGGGCCTCCCCCACTCTCTCACTCTACCGGTCAAACCCTCGCCGGGTTTCGCAGCACTCACGGAATCTCTTCTTGAAGGTGAAGAGAACAGTCATGGAGTTATCGTGAACAGTTTCGCTGAACTCGACGCAGAGTACACTCAGCATTACGAAAATCTCACTGGAAGAAAAGTGTGGCATGTGGGCCCCAGCTCCCTCATGGTCGAACAAGCCGTTAAAAAACCTGCCATTGTCAATGAGAACAGACACGAGTGTCTCACGTGGCTTGACTCAAAGGAACAAGACTCCGTTCTCTATGTTTGTTTCGGAAGTCTCGCTCTTCTTTCGGATAAGCAGCTTTATGAACTAGCCGCCGGTCTCGATGCGTCCGGGCACTCTTTCATCTGGGTGGTTCACCGGAAAAACAAAGACGAACAAGAGCAGGAGGAAGAAAAGTGGCTACCGGAGGGGTTTGAGCAGAAGATAGGGATAGAGAAGAGAGGGATGTTGATCAAGGGATGGGCACCGCAGCCGTTGATCTTGAACCACCCTGCTGTGGGAGGGTTTTTGACGCACTGTGGGTGGAACGCCGTGGCAGAGGCCATCAGTTCTGGGGTTCCGATGGTGACCATGCCGGGTTTCAGTGATCAGTACTATAACGAGAAGCTTATAACGGAGGTGCACGGGTTTGGCGTGGAGGTGGGAGCGGCGGAGTGGAGTATCTCGCCGTATGATGGGAAGAAGGAGGTGGTGAGTGGGGAGAGAATAGAGAAGGCTGTGAAGAAGTTGATGGATAAAGGAGAGGAAGGTGAGAAGACTAGGAAGAAGGCGAAGGAGATGCAGGAGAAAGCATGGAGAGCTGTTCAAGAAGGTGGATCCTCACACAACAGTCTCACGGCTCTCATCGATCATCTCAAGCCTCTCTTGTCTAGACATGATAACTAGGTCAATCAACTTCTTCTCGCACTTCCCATGCATGTTTCGTGTTAGATTTATGCAGATAAATTTCATTCATCTGCATGAAAATACCAATCATCTGTGTATTTTGTTACCTCGATTTTCTTTAATTAATCCTCTTCTGTTTTCCTTCTCTTTCTGTGTAACAATTAGTAATAAAGCACTAATAAGATCCATTATCATATGAGTTATTTGCCTGCAAAAGTGATTTCATGGGAGGAAAAGCACTCAATCATTTAAAAAAACGGTCTATGGTATAGATAGAGCATATCGTTGGGTTGTCCACCAGAGTACCCGTTTTGTTTTTCCTTTGTGGCTTGTTTCTTAATTCCTTATGCTCACAAAAGATTAAATTCATATTTTTTTTCATTATGTTATTATTTTTTATAACATTGTATGTCAGAATTTTTTTTTATCATGTTATCATATTAAATTTAGATAGAAATTTATTTTATTATTCCAAATGTGTTATATATATATCAACCACGTTTCAATTAGAAAAACAAATACGGTATGCATTATTATAATAGTAAATTATATAATTACAATGGGGCTTGTATTTACATTATAAGTGCATAATAAAAAATGTGATAAAAATAATGTGGTTAAAAATACTCTAATATAATAAAAAATGCAACATAATAATACTAATAATTAAAAAAAAAGAAGTCCAAGTAAGCACATTGTCCCTATACAAGTCTTTTAATGCCTTTCCTTTTGTCAACACCGACGCATTCGAAATGTAATCTTTAATCTCATTTATATCAATTAAACTAATTCTAAATATTTCATGTTTACATTCGTCCAATTATGGAATATTTCGTAGAAGTGATCACCGCCTAGAGAATTATCCAATCTGAACTATTGTTTGAAATTAAACGAGTTAAACATAAAAGGAGCATAGTTCAACATACTATATGGCTCTGACTATTCCTTGTGAAAGCTTAACTCACTCTTCAATATTTGACCATTTCAAGATTTCTGGTTCTGACAAACAGTGGCCACTTATTCCCGAATGTACTTGATCCTGATACGTCAAATTAAGTGGCTATCGCATATCTTCTTTAGACTATTACAATATGGCAGTGGTGCTCGTATGAATGAGGTAATAATTTAGTATTTTTAAGTTAGAATAGCTACAGAAAGAAGTTCTAAAGAAAGAATCACTCTCTCCAGAGGCAATACACAAATGTAAAAGTTTTTTTATATGTTAAATATTCTTGAATCACGGAGAATTACTCTAACTAAGATAAAAGAGATAAACTCTAATATTTCTAAAAATAAAACTCGTTATTTCTGATAAAAATGACCCAGCTTATAAAGAAGCTTTGTCATTAGAGTTACAAATATTCATTAAAGGAAAATAAATGCTAATAATGATTCATTAACCTAGGAATTGAAAACTACTTAATGATTTATTGTAACTGAAATTATGACATCCAAAAGTCAATCAGTTATGCACATTCTTGGTCTCTGGAAAACTGATAACTAAATTTTCAATTACGCCCTTATTACAACTTGCAATAAAACTAAACTAAAGTCCATTAATTGATTAATCGAAAACACAATTTGGTCAACCAACAATACTTGTTAAAGAAATTCATTTACTTTCCTTGCTCTAGTGCTTATCATAGATCATGTTCACATCATTCTCTCTCTTGAAAAGGATTTGTCCTCAAATCGGATTCGTCATCTATATTAAAAAGAGATAAGTCTGACAAATTGAATGTAGAACTAACATTATACTCACTTTTTATGGCTAAATAACTCTCTTTCACTTCAAGCGTTTCACTCTTCTTCTTCTTTTTCTCTTTTATTGAAGAAAATTTTCTCTCATTTTCTTTTTATCTTCCTCTGCCATCAATTTGATATTCAAACCTTTAAACAGGGGCTCTGATACCAACTGATATGAATCACAAGGGACAATTTAGGATCTTTAAGGTTAGAACCTTATAAGCAATTTAAGAATTAGAAAGAAGGTAGAAGGAAATAATCACTCTTTCCAAGGAAGGCAACACACAAAGGATGTGAAAGTCCTTTGATACAGCCAAATATTCTTGAATCACTCAAGAACTTAGGAGAATCACTCTTACTAAGATAAAATAGATAAACTCTAATATTTCTAAAAATAAAACTCAACTTGTTATTTATGATAAAACTAGTTCAGCTTATAAAGAAGTTTTGCCATCAGAATTACAAATATTCATTAAAGGAAAATAAATGCTAATAATGATTTATTAACCTAGGAATTGAAAACTACTTAATGATTGATTGTAACTGAAATTGTGGTATCAAAAGTCAATCAGTTATGCACCCTCTTGGTCTCTCAAAGACTGATAACTAAATTTTCAATTGGACCCTTATTACAACTTGCAATAAAACTAAACTAAAGTCCATTAATTGATTAATCTAAAACACAATTTGGTCAACCAACAATATTTGTTGAAGAACTTCATTTGTTTCCCTTACTCTAATCCTTATCATAGTTCATGTTCAGATCAGATGCCCAAGCCATGGCATAACAATGTTGAAGTGATAACTTATTAGTTAGTATAACCATGCCCATAGATGATGATTTAGCAATGCTCAAATGATGACTCAGAATGACAAGGGAAGACTTTTGGCCCTTCCATGCATACATCTATAAATTACAGTACCAAGTGCAACCATTACACATAAGCTATCCAAGCAAAAGGAAAACAAAGGATGAAAGTTGAAGTAGAAATAATTTCTAGAGAAGAAATTAGGCCTTCTTCTCCCACACCCTCTCACCTTAGAGTCTTCAGGCTTTCCCTTTTGGATCACATTATTCCATCACCATATGATCCAATAATCCTATTCTACACCTCACCTAAGAGTGAGACAACTTCCCTAAGTCCTGAAGAGGTTAGAATTGCTAAAAAAATCTTTATCACAGACACTAACCAAATTCTACCCATTAGATGTGGCAAAATTAAATAGGATCTGTCCATTGAGTGCAACGATGAAGGTGCTAATTTTGTGCAAGCCCAAGTGAAGTGTCCTCTTGATGAATTTCTAGTCCAAGCCTTAGCTGATCTCACTAAACAAGTTTCTTCCCCTTGATCTTGTTTCAGAAGGATCAAATTCAGGAACCTATGTGACTTACATTCGAGTCAACATCTTTGAATGTGGGGGAATTGCCATTGGCATGTGTATTTCTCATAGGATCCTAGATAAGGCTGCACTGAGCACCTTTATCAAAGGGTGGACAGAGAGGGCCATGGATTGTAACCAATTAACCGCACCAAGATTAATTGTAACTTGTCTTTTTCCCCACAAGCAGTCCATGGCTCAAAGACTTATCTAACGGATCTTGACTAGATCATGGAGGGGCCAAATAATATATTATTAATAAATAATAAATAAATATAAAATGAAGTAAGAAGATAAAATGGTAAAAGGATAAAATTGTAAATATATACTGAAATATATTAAATGATCATTAAGTTTGAGGGGAACAAAATCATAAATTATATGAGAGTTACAAAATTGAGAAGGGGCTGAGAGGATAAAATTGTAAATATACAAGTAAATATATTAAATATTCATTAAGTTTTTGAGGACCAAAATCATAAATTACATGGGAGTTATAAAACTTTGAGAGGGCCACGACCCTCCTCAACTCCCAAGATGATCCCCCACTGCTTATCAATGTGGATGTGGGGTTCCTTGTTCACACAAGGCAAGTGGGTCACAAGGAGGTTTCTGTTTAGAAACTCAGCTATAGCCACTCAAGGCTCAAACATCAGGAACAGAAAACTCCAGACGTTTGGAGATGGTTTCTGCTATGCTGTGGAAGTCCCTCATGGTGTGTCCAAGGCACGATTTGTTACTGAAAGGCCTTCTTTGGTGACTCATTTGGTGAACCTGAGGAGAAAAATGGATGTGGCTCTTTGTCCTGAACATGCCATGGAAAATCTTCTTTGGTTGATGGTTGCAGAGAGTCTGGGTAATAATGAGATGGGGTTCGAGGAATTGGTGGGGAAATTGAGGAGTGCCATATCAAAAGTTGATAAGGAATTTGTTGAAGAATTGAGAGGTGACAAGGGAAGGTCAATTATGCACGAGAGTCTAGGGGCAATAGGTGAGATGATCAAGGAGTGAAGTGGATTATTTTGGGTTTAGTAGTTGGTGCAATTTTGGGTTCTATGAGGATGATTTTGGGTGGGCAAAACCCACATGGGTGAGTGGTGTTGGTTCAATTGATTCAGTTTCAATGTTCATGAATCTTATCATCCTAGTAGACACGAGGTTGGGAGATGGCATAAAAGCTTGGGTTACCTTGAAAGAGGAGGATATGACTCACTTGAAAGCAAACCCTGAACTCCTCACTTGTGCAACACTGGACCCAAGTCCTTTAATCATGAGTTCAGTTGCATGATTATTAGAATTACTTTTCATCATTAATGAAAGCAATACTTATATTTTGAAGTTAATAATTTTGTTTCATGAGAAGAAATGGAAAAATTTGGTTTGTGTCGTTAAATCCAGTCACCTACTTACCAAGTTTTTCTGTAACTTGTTTAAGTGTATGTTACACCCACAAAGTCAATGCAACTTGTCTTTGTCAGAATTTATTTCTGACTTTGAAGTTGTTAAGTGGTAAAAAGTTGATATAATTATGCCTTGAATTGTTATGAAACCACTTAACTTATGTTAATTCTAATATATTTTTCTCCCAATATAGGATGAATTCGAGAATACCTTGATACAAGAGTAAGGAGCATAATTGTCAACATAATTGGAGTAAAATTGAAAGAAAGAAGAGCGCTTAAGCGAATAAATGATGCGAGGCCCGACCCAAATTCTCTTATAAAAAGATAAGTTGTGTTTTAAGAAGAAGCAGTCTTGGAGGAGAGGAGACACGACTACTGTTAGGGTTTTGTCTAATCTTCATCAACTCTTCACTTCTTCATCAATTGGAGCATTGTAATGACCAACATGAGTGACTAATTTCATTCTCTTAGGATTCGGTCCACTTCCTTTGAACTCTTTTGTATCATGGTGATATTTTGAGATCTTAATCTATACTTTGATGTTGTTATTCTTATCCTTTATGCTTTGAAATGATTTATTCTTGATTATTTGAGGTATGATTGGAAAATATATCTTGAACCCTAGATCATGGTAAGAATATTTGTTACGTTAATTGTCAAGAATGGAATGAATGTATCAATTGCTTAACACCCTAACCCTAATGCTGGAAAATCTATTAATTGTGTGAGGAATCAACATTTATTAGGTTTTCTTATGAATTTCATGTGTGAGGAATAAACATGAATGATTTGAGTAGGTGACATCAACATTGTTAGGTTAATTGACGTTCTTAATTGACATAGTCATTACAAAAGAGGGATAAGGAAGGAAGTCAATCCTAAGTACTTTTAATTGATATTTTCTCAACAATTTACAGTTCTTTGTCATTTAATTTCAATTCAACTCTTATTTGCAAAACTCAATCTGTTTTAATCTACTTAGTAAGTATAATTGAGAATTTTCATTAAAACTGTTTCTCGTGGGATCGACTTTTATTTTATCGAAATACTATACTGCGATTGATAATTTTGGTACGCTTGCCAATAATTCAACAAGTATTTCTGGCGCCGTTGCCGGGGAACGGTGTTCTTTAAGAATTCTTTGTTTAACTTATTGAGTATTTTATTTTTATTTACTGTTATTATTATTATTATTATTATCATTATTATCATCATTATCATTATTATCATTATTATTATTATTATTATTATTATCATTATTATTATTATTATCATTATTATTATTATTATTATTATTATTATCATTATTATCATTATTATAATTATTATTATTATCATCATTATTATCATTATCATTATTATTATTATCATTATTATCATTATTATTATTATTATTACTATTATTATTATCATTATTATTATTATTATTTAGTTTTTAGTTTATGCTAATATTTGTTTGAGTTACTCTTTTAATTTATGCGTTTAAGAGGACATATATCTTCAGAGCAGCTAGAATTTAATCCAGAGATTGAAAAAACAGCTCGAAGGAACCGGGGTAGAAAAAAAGGGGAAACTCAATAACAAGCTACAAGAGAATATGCTAATTCTTCTTTCACACTTGATTTACCAGACCCAATTATAGAAGATATGACGGAAGAAGGAGAAAATCTGAATCCAAATCCAAATCAAAACACAAATACAAATCCACCTAGAAGAACTCTTAGAAATTGTGCTATGCAACAAGGTCCAAGATATTTTTCCAGCATTGTCATTCCGGATGATCATACATTGCAGATGAATCCAGTTTTCTTAAGCTTGATTAGTGTTCATCAATTCATTGGATTGGATCATGAAGACCCTTATATTCATTTGTCTACTTTTTATGAGTTGATTGGTACCATGAGATTTAAAGCAGCAAATCTTGAATATGCATATTTGATATTATTTCCTTTTTCTTTGGCAGGTAGGGCAAATGAATGACTGAAAGCACATCCTAATCAGAGTCTGACTAATTGGAGAAGTGTAGAAGAGAAGTTTTTGAATAGATTTTTCCCACCATCCCGTTACATCAAAGCAAAATCTGACATCACTTCTTTTAGACAAGGAACAGATGAACAATTTTGTGAAACATGAGAGAAATTTAAATCACTGTTGAGAAGTTGCCCAAATCATGGATTTGATGACGTTTCTCAGTTGAATATTTTCTATACTGGCTTGCGACATGATGTAAAGATGTTATTAGAGGATGTAGCAAGAGGATCTATGTTGGATGTAGAAATTGATCATGCCACCAGAATTATTGATGCACTAGCCTTTACAGACCAACAGACCCAACATGATAGACATCCAATTCAAAGGAAGGGAGTACTTGAACTTAATAGCTCAGATGCTATCTTAGCCCAGAATAAACTTATAACACAACAAATTGAAGCATTGAACCAGAAAATAGAGAAATTACCTCAACAAATGCACATAGTACAATCTATTCTTAATCAACAGATGAGTTGTGACGTGTGTGGAGGTGGTCATGCAAATGAACAATGCTCTTATCAAGGCAACATTCAACAAAAAGAAGCTAATTATATGGGTGCTCAAGGTAGTAGTCAAGGCAGACAAGGTAATTTTTCTAATCCTAATAATTATCAGAATAATTTTGCACAAGGATGGAGAGGGAATCAGAATCAGAATTTTGGGTGGAAACAAGGACAACCTACATTTCAACAACAGTCATATCAGCAACCCCCATATCAGCTGCAACAACAGTATTATCCTTCAGTGTATGACGGAATAAGTAAATTGGAGGATATTGTAGAAAAATTCATGCAAAACACTATGGTTAATAAAAAAAAATACAGAAGCTTCATTCAGAAATATAGAGACCCAGATTGGCCAATTGACTAAGCAATTATCTGAGCAGCAACAAGGAGGACAATTTTCAGCTAACACACAAACCAATCCAAAGGAGCAATGCAATTCAATAACTACAAAGAGTGGAAAAATTGTAGGTAAGGGGATTGATGACAATATAGTTGTTGAAGAAGAAGTTTTGGTAAAAGAAGATGAAGAGCAAGAAGAGCAGAATAATAAAGAAAAACATATTCCTAATAAGAAGAACAAAGAGAAGATAGAAAAAGGAGGGAGTCAAAAACCATTTGTAGAGAAGTTACCATATCCTAAGGTTCCCTCACAGATAGATAAAGAAAGACAATTCACTAGGTTTATGGATATTTTCAAGCAATTGCAAATTAATATATCATTTGTGGAAGCTATGGAGTAAATGCCAACATACGCCAAATTCATGAAAGAACTCTTAACTAAGAAAAGAAGATTTACTGATGAAACAGTAGAGTTAGAGGCATGATGCAGTGCTATATTCCAAAAATCATTGACTCAAAAGTCTAAGGACCCTGGAAGTTTCACTATACTAGTCACAATTGGTGAATTACCGGTGAAAAAATCATTACTTGATTTAGGGGTTAGTATAAACCTCATGCCATTATCTATGCTCAAAAAAATAGGAAACTTGGAAATAAAGTCTACAAGAATGACATTACAGCTAGCCGACAGATCTGTAAATATTCCTTATAGAGTAGCAGAAGATGTTTTAGTTAGAGTGAATAACTTCATATTTCCTGTTGATTTTGTGATTATGGACATGGAGGAAAATGAGGAAGTCCCATTGATCTTGGGAAGACCATTTATGAAGACTGCCAAAGTAATTATAGATGTTGACATGGGCAAGTTGAAAATTAGAAGTGGAGATGATGAAGTTAATTTTAATTTGTTTGAAGTTGTACAACAACCGGAAGACAAGAAAGATTGTCTCAGAATAGACACTTTGTAGGAATTAACCATCTCAACTGAAAAACAAGATTACAAGCCTGTTGTACAACCCCAAAGACATCTTAGTCTAACTATGAAGGAAGTTGTTCAAAGAAAGGTACTGAAACCTCCTGAAGCAGGTATGATTTATCCAATCTCTGACAGTTGTAAGGTTATTCGCAATGAAAAGAATAAATTCGTTCCCACAAGGATAGTTAAGGGATGGAGAATGCGTATATATCACCTTGATCACTCACCTGCATGAGCCCTAAAACAAATAGGCGTCGAGCTAAAGATGTTAAACAAGCGTTCTTGGGAGGCAACCCAATATTTTGAATTTGTTTTTTTCTTTTTGCAGTTTAAGTTTTTTGTGCATTTTTCTTCCTTAGGTTCTTTCTTTGCAAGATTGCTCCATGTACACATTGCACTTCTCCTCAAGACTTTGAAGCCTTACTTCAATGACCTGGGGACAGTTCAACTTTTCTGGAGGGGGTGAGAAAGTCTGCAACTGAGGCTGAGGCACAAGATAAGAAGTACATGACAAGTGAAGAAAATGAGGGAGGAAACCTACTTTGCTTTTAATGTTTTTAATTCCTTTATTTTTAATTTAATGTTTTTAATTGCTTTATTTTAAATTTTGAATTCCCTTGTTGTCCCATAATTTGTTTTAGAGTCATATATGATATTATTGCTTATTGTCTAATTCAAATCTAGAACATGAAAAATAATTTTGATTGTTTCCAATAACAAATGATTTTGGGATATTTAGTATGATAGTAAAAATGAATTGATAAGAAAAATTAGGAATTAACTGAATTGGAGAAGCTAACCAAAACCCAGGTGAGCACAGTACCACAAACAGATAAATTGAGTGTCAACACTTTGTGATGATAACTGATATTGATTGATTCTTTGATGTGATTACATGTTGGCAAGACTTGAAAATGATAAAGACATTTTTTTCTTTGTAGTAGATATAACCCAGAGCCAAATAGTCAACCCTACATTAATTATAGGACATCCATTTGAACCCCTTCTGAGCCAAAAACAATATTATTTCTTAAACAGAACCCTTAAGCCTAAACACTATTTATCTACCTTCCTATATTTGAGAAAGGAAATGAGTATGAATGTCACTATTTTTCTTATTGTTGGGTATTGCTATTGTTGTCCTACAGGTATTGTTGTAGTGATATTGTTAAAAAAAAAAGTGTAAAGAAAAAGGAAAAGTAAAGCTTAAAAATTTGCAAAGTCAAAAAAAGGATCCATGCAAAAGCAAAAAAAAAAAAAAGTCAAAAGGGGGGTAATAACTTGTGAGGTTATTAACTCATTGTCATTGTGTTAGGGACAAAAACATGAAGTTTGAAACCTGACTTGAGGAATTGTTAATCAAGAATCATTCATATGAGTTGAATTTCTCAAATATTTTTGTATATCCCAGAAAAACAAATAATTCTTTCTTAGCCCAGCCCCATTACAAGCCTAAAAAGACCTTTTGATTTAAATCTTGCTAACAAATGTTGATTGCTTGAAGATGATTATCAATATTGGATTGTCTAAATGAAGTGATTGAATGAGATAAACACTTACCTGTGAGAATTAGAGATGAGTATATATAACTCTATTTGAGAGATAATGCTTCTCTGAGGATAGTTTAGGACTAATTATTCTTTGTTGGTTTCTATAACTTGAATGCTTATGTGTTCTATTTTCAATTGGAGTTGTGAGCATCACCTCTGAAAATTTTTATGTTGTGGTTCCAGAAGAGAAAAAGATAATAGGTGATGATTTTGTTTTGAAAAAATTACTTTGCTGGTGACAAACAAGATTCTAGGTTGGGGGAGTTGTTAAGTGGTAAAAAGTTGATATAATTATGCCTTGAATTGTTATGAAACCACTTAACTTATGTTAATTCTAATATATTTTTCTCCCAATATAGAATGAATTCGAGAATACCTTGATACAAGAGTAAGGAGCATAATTGTCAACATAATTGGAGTAAAATTGAAAAAAAGAAGAGCGCTTAAGCGAATAAATGATGCAAGGCCCGACCCAAATTCTCTTATAAAAAGATAAGTTGTGTTTTGAGAAGAAGCAGTCTTGGAGGAGAGGAGACACGACTACTGTTAGGATTTTGTCTAATCTTCATCAACTCTTCACTTATTCATCAATTGGAGCATTGTAATGACTAACATGAGTAACTAACTTCATTTTCTTAGGATTCAGTGCACTTCCTTTGAACTCTTTTGTATCATGATGATATTTTGAGATCTTAATCTATGCTTTGATGTTGTTATTCTTATCCTTTATGCTTTGGAATGATTTATTCTTAATTGTTTGAGGTATGATTGAAAAATATATCTTGAACCCTAGATCACAGTAAGAATATTTGTTCCATTAATTGCCAGGAATTGAATGAATGTATCAATTGCTTAACACCATAACCCTAATGCTGGAAAATCTGTTAATTGTGTGAGGAATCAACATTTATTAGATTTTCTTATGAATTTCATGTGTGAGGAATCAACATGGATGATTTGAGTAGGTGACATTAACATTGTTAGGTTAAGTGACGTTCTTAATTGACATAGCCATTACAAAAGAGAGATAAGGAAGGAAGTCAATCCTAAGTACCTTTAATTGATATTTTCTCAACAATTTACAGTTCTTTGTCATTTAATTTCAATTCAACTCTTATTTGCAAAATTCAATCTGTTTTAATCTACTTAGTAAGTATAATTGAGAATTTTCATTGAAACTGTTTCTTGTGAGATCGACTTTTATTTTATCGAAATACTATACTACTTATGATAATTTTGTTACCAATAATTCAACAGAATTATATACGCAACATTTTACAGAGGGGCTTTTCCCCCAAAAAGAAGAAAACACTTTATACAGAGAAGCAAAATACACCTTGGTGATCTGCATATTGAGATAAAACAGAGTAACTTATGAAACTTGAGAGAAATTTTTAACTATTACAAATAGTGTGTGAAATACATATCTAAAAAGGAAATTTATAATATAAAATAAATAAATTAGAAGAAAAAGTGTTGAATTTGGTGAGATTTGGATCTTGTGACAAGCATCTCTAGATATCCTAAACTTTTGGTGAAAAAATAATCCACGTTTGAGGAAAATATTAATTTGATTTAGACTTCTAGCTACTCAATTTTGTCTACACTAGCAGCAGAAACGCCCCAAGTAAATCATTATATATAAAGTAGAAGAAAATACGCACACCAAAGGATTGAGTTAAGAATTATGAATTGATGTGCGAGATAACGACAATTCAACAACTTCATCTTCCCTGCATTTCCCCACATCAATCAACAAAGTTCCCTTCTTCTTTGTACGTCGAACCCTACAACAATTTCTTCTTGGAGCCTGCTCAAACCAACAAAACCCTTATTAGCCAATTTTGAATTTCATTCACTTCAATAACAAACAAAAAATGTTACCACCAATTTTTCTAATCCTCTCATACACATTGTCCAATTAGTTGAAGTCATTTAAAAATATTAGAAAATGTACTATTTATACTATGTTAGAAAAAGAGCCATACATTTCAATTAGCGAAATTGAAGTTACCTTGTCCCATAAATGCGGGTCGGGTTTCTTGTGAACGACCACCAATTTGATCCGGGTTGGATCCTCCATTTTCCACTTGCAATCAGGGTTTTGCTGAACCCGTATATATTTACTAGAAGTTTGATTGGCACCCTCATCGTGCATTGCCTCCGACAAGAAATAGACAAAAGGTTTCTGACAAACATGGCGGCTGACGGGGCGGGTGTTGAAAGGGTACGCCGTGTAATCGGCCCGTTTGTACCAGTTCAGGAACGTCCTCGCCGGCATCTCCATTTCCCGGGCCGAGAAGATGCCTCGGAATATTTGAACCGCGTATCCCCATGAAACGGATATGGTCCAGGTCCGGGCCTTGTCGTAGCAAATGGATTGTTGCATCAGCCCCGCTGGGTCCAGCTTCATGGGCCCGCTCAGCCGCTTCAGGGCCTGCACCCGGCTCACGTTTGGAAATATGGGCTCTACCACGTCCAAGTGATGGAGGGACACCAGTGGCGTAACCGGATGGGCCGCGAGAAGCCCAAAGAGATTCCCGTACACATCGAACTATTCAATGTAAAATAGAGTACACCGATGTCAAATTAGAAGAAAATGTTAATTTTTTTTCTTTAATTTTTATTCTATCTCAAATCATTATGTAGGTGAAGTAGAAAACGGTCTTCCTACCGACAGAAGACAATAGTTTATGATGATGGAGCAGATCGAGGCACATAGTTTCATGGTGGATAGTGCTACGTGTCTCAATACTGTGTGATACTAAATTTTAAAATAGAACCCTGGTGGGGCCCTTCAACTACATCTTTGACAGGCCAATGCAATATTTGCATCGTGTAAACCATTAATATGAGCTTTCATAGTAATTTGTACTATTCAATAAAATACAAAATGTTATTGTAAACCAGAAAAATACTTAAAATTGGAACAGAAAACCTTAGAATAAAATTGACCTTTGAGTCGGTGGAACCATTGAATAGGTGGCTTAAACTTAACGGTACCACGTAAATTGACAATTTGTTTAAATTTGTCCAACATTTTCTGACACTTTCGACTTTGAATATCAATTAGATTAGATGGTAAGTAACATTAAATGGTGCCACCATATGCACCCAGAAAATGAAAATGAATTAATGTAAACTAACCATGTTTTGGAATCTGTGTATCTAACGGTTGCTCTTTTCTGCTTTTGCATCTAACAGTGGCAGTGTCTTTTCATGATATTATGGCAAGGTAGCAATTCTCTTTGTTATTATCAATGTTTCTAATCTTATAAAAAGTTACTTATTTAATGTATCTGAACATAAAATCTCATATTTTATGAAATTATATAAATAATGTCAGTACATCCTATCTATCTAAGTAAAAGTTTATGGTAGCAAAACTTTGCGGTACCATTTTGTCAAAATTAAACTAAACCTAATACAGTAAAATTTATCAATTTTTAATTAACTAAAGTGAACTCAAAAGTCCCTCACTTCCTATTCTCACTGACCCACTGTCTCCCCCACTTCCAGAAATTAAATTTCAAAATTACAATCATATAGATTGACTTAGTCAATATGTAAAGTACAGAGTTTATCTATTTGCCATTTCTTTCCTTTTCTTTCCTTAGGTTTTCCTAAGAACCAGAGAGTCACAAACCAAACAATACAAATGCCACAAATCAAACAGAGACTAAAACAATGAAAATTTAGACAAGAATGAAAAATAAAATGTCTTAAGTTACAGAGTACTAACCTGATGAAACCCTTTCTCCTTGGTGAGTGGAACTCCTAATTCTGCCATACAAGCCTGCATCCTATCATCAGAGCCATACAAACCAGGGTACCTCTGAATGCACCTATCCTGCATTTTCTCCAATGCCACAGCCAAAGGATAACTAATTGCAAATCCACCACCCCCATAAGCCATATTATATGAAAAGTATATATTTTGCAAGTGACTCTCTGAAGAACTTCCTATGTAATAGAACTGATTATGGTCATACTTCTGCAAAACCTTCACCAAATTTTCTGTCACAAAAACGGTGTCATCATCCCCCATCACGAACCACCTCACATCCTTCATCCCAAGCCTGAGTGTCTCGGACACTATGCGTGAGATCCGAATAGCTGATCTATGCCCCTTTGGATTCTTATACTTGAACTTTGAAGTGTCACTAGAGATCCTCAACCGGGGCAAGGAATTCTCATCACCAGGTTCAGTTTTCACCTTCTGCTCTAGCCACACAACTCCACGCATCTCATTGGGCCTCCACCACATCTTGATGTACTCTTTTCTCTGCTTCCAAAGCTTGGCTGAGGCCCCTATGCCGAAGACTATGTGGGAAAGGTTGGTTTCTTCAAAGGGTGGGAACTCTTCTTGAGGTGGGGACTCTTCTTGAGGTGGGATGTTGGATATGTGCTGGTGAATGATGGTGGGAATGTGGGGGGGCTGATCACATTCATAGGAGTGGCTGACGAATCTGAGGGAGTAGAAGAGGTAGGAGATGGAGATTAAGAGGAAGAAGAAAGCCATTAGCTTTGAGAAGCTCCATGAAGAGTATAAATGGTCAGGGTCTTTGAAATTGTTCTTCATGGTGGACATGGTTTTCAAGTGTTTATTAGCACAAAAAGATGACGAATTGAAACCCCAAAAGCTTGATCATGAGAACCCCATGGAGGAGATGGGGAAGGAGAGAGAATGGGGGATTAGATTTGGTAAAGTTTTAAGTTTTGCATAGAACCACTAAAAAGGGTCCTGATAAATTGAACACTAAACAAAAACAAAACCAAAAACACTATTAGGGTTCATATTAACAACACACACTGTTTGGCAATTCAGCGATGTGCTAAAGGCAGTGTTGAAGCCTATTGATCTGATTTCTTTTAATCCCCGCAAAAAGATATATTTTTTTTAATAAAATAAAATTTATCTCAGTTGTAATTTTTAAAATAATTATTCTAAAATGAGTAAATTTAACATGAATCCGATTAACCAGTGCCCACTGATTTAAAAATTAAAAAACAAGGTACTCTTATTGTTTATTAGGGAAGAGGGAAACATTAAACGCCTCTAAAACATATCTTTAAAGAATAAAATTTAAAATAACAAAATCAATTATTTATTTTATTTATATAATAACTATAACATTTTCTTATTTGGTATCTATATCACTTGAAAACATTTTTTTTAATTGTTACACATATTACTTTTAATCTACTTTAGTTAGCAAACATATCATTTAGTCCTGTAATAAAAAGTTAAAAAGGAAAAAAAACACTAAAAGAAGATTATTTTAAGATAAAGAGTGAAAAATAATTATAAAAATAAAATTAGACAATTAATTAATCCCAATAGAGGGGAAAATGAAATAGAAAATTAAATAAAAATAGAAATATATAATTGAGGAGTAAAATTATGAACTTTTTGAAAAGTTATATTTGTTAAGAAGACAACTCTTGTACATATTTGTTAATATCTCATTTACTAACCTTATTTGACATGCTTGCTAATGTATAATTTGTATGGTGTTATCTTTAATGAGTAAATTTTCAATTACAATAAGAAGAGTAACATTTTTTACTCGAACAAATTATAAATAAAAATATTTACATGAAAAAAAAAAGTTTTCGTTACATACTTATATATATTATAAATAATAAATTTATTCAACCTACCTTCTATACTACCAATTTAACTTTTCTTAATTAAAAAAAATTGTTACTTTTATAAGAATAATTTTATTTCTTCTTCTTATTATTATTATAATAATTTAAATTTTAAAATTTTGTCACTGTGAAAATATATTTTAATTTTTAGAATATAAAAAATACATGATTTGATATATATAAATAAATTATAAATGATGCGGCAATATTACAGTGAATTTATATAAAAATACTTACACTTTTTTTCAAATTTTTGGAAGAAAATAAATAAAATCATTTTTTAAAATTAAATTTCTTTTATACATAAATTAATCTTTTTACAGAAATTAATAAAAAAAAATAATTTATGCATATTAACTTATACGTAAACTTATTTTGATTTATAGATATTTCAATTATTTTTTCTAATAATTTTTCTCTCGGATAAATATGACGAAACCTAAATTTATGTTTGAGACGAGGATAAATTTGAGATAATAAGAAAGAAGAGAAAAAAAAAAAATTAGATTATTTGAATTGAGAAAAAAAAAGGAGAGAGAAATAAAAAAATATATTGAGATTTTATAAGATTGATTTGATTGATAAAAATAAGGAAATAATAAAATAAATAAAAAAATCAAAATATTTTTTATATAAATTTAGTAAAAATAAAAAAATTAAAATTAATATATAATTTAATATAAAATCATTATTTAATAAAATAAAAATAAAAGTAATTTATAGATACGTTGAAATACATTTCAATTATTTTGTGGATATATTTATACTTTATAATTTATTGTTATAATAATTTATAAAAAAATTAGATTATAGAAATTATTTTAAAAATATTATCGTGTAATTTTTTATATATTTTTATATAGTAAATTAAGAGTATATATTGTTAAGTATGAGACAATTAATTATTTCTAAAATATGAAATAATATTAAAAAATATACATAATTTTAAATTTTTTAAATAAATAATGTAATTTAGTTTTAAATATTTTGTATAATATTTCTTTTTTAAATAATATAAATTAATTAAAAATCACTCAATATTACTATATTTTTTATGTTATTTTTATGATATATTTTTTAAAATTATATATGAAAAGGAAAGAAAAGCAAAAGATAGTAAGAGAAAAAAATAACGTTACTGCAACAATTATATTAAAATATAAGATTAAATATTTAAAGATATCAATAATTTAGTGGTTTACGTGTTTAAGTATTTAAAAACAAACATTATTGTATTATATAAGATATAAGATGTTCTCTGTATATATTTAAACCACTAGAATCTAAACTTTTCTTCACTTTCTTGATAATTCAAATATAGAGATTAATCACATGAATATCATCTACTTACAATGTAATAAAATGTTTATCATAATTCAAATCAAGATACCACACAAACTATGGATATGCTAGAAATAAGATTTTTTATTTGTACAATTATTACAAAATATTTTTAATATTTACCTATAAATAATCAAACATCGTAACTATAGAATAAATCAAATGTCTAATCTTTCAACATCTTAGTTATAGTTCATGTTATCATATACTGATATTCAAAATCATAAGTACTTTATTTTACTTCTAGAACACTTACATACATTAAATTCAGACTTAAAAATTGATATCTGTCATACTACATTCCATAAGTAGATATCTCAGACATAAGTACATAATTATAACACATTATCTTATGTAATAAAGGTAAATCCTTATGACTTGTTAGATACAATTTTTTTTTTTTCACATCATAAGTTAAGTCATAGACTTCCTTCAATTCTCACAACTTGATACTTTTATCTATGTGAGCTCAGTATTAGTAGAATTAGGATATTTCCTTCACAAAACCAAATTCAATATTTTACCTACTATGTTAACTTTCATCAATTCATCACATATATAATATACATAAGAGTATCTCATAATATTTCTTACATCACAACATATATATATATATATATATATATATATATATATATATTTCATGTTCAATATATGAATTCTAATATCCTAAATCATGAACGTACAATTTCTCACATTACAACAAAAAATAAAATTTTGTGATTTGAACTTTATCTATTATTTTGATCATATCTTTTTCTTCTAGTATTTTTTTTATTAATTTTTGTTTCATTGGATTCATTTTTAAATATGTCATACCTAATCCAAATATAGATATTATACCCTAACATTTCTCACATATCATTATTCTAAGTCAATTCATTTAATCACAATTTAAGATACAATACAAATATATCAAATTCCTGCAAATTCAACAATGTGACCAAATCACCTATCAGATCTTCTAATCGAGTATTACGAAAATAAAATAATAATTAGTTTCTCTTACCTTCTAATTTCATTGCTCTCAAATTTGAAAGTCTAAATCATCAATTTCTTAAGGAGAAGTAAGATCTGCTCACAAAAAATCTCAATTAACAAATCAAATCTACCACAATATTCTTAAACTAGTCAAAACTCATTTTTATCCTATCAAGATCACATGCAAGACTCACCCATGTGTAAAACCTTGGTCTTATTTAAATAATTTTTGTAACATCTCAATTAATGTAAAAGATAAACATTATCAAAATCATAATTACTGCATTTATGATTACGTAATTAAATAAAAAAAATTGCTATAAAAAGGTAGGGGGAAGGATCCGTGAGGAGAGAGAAAGGAAGAGAGAGAAAGAAAGAGAGAGAAAGAGAGAGGGAGGAAGAGAAAGAGAGAAAAAAAAAATTGTTTCTGCAAATTTTTGGTACTTCATCCGCAGCTCTTAAGGTAGGGGAGAAGAATATTATCATTAAATCTATTTTATTTTGTTTATAGTTGTGGAGTGAGGTGTCCCTAACCTCATTCTATTTATTTAGTTATTTGTTTATTTATCTCTAATAATGTACTGGTCCTCTTTATTTATTTATTTTATCTCCAGTCTTGCACTGGTCCTATTTTAATTATCTCTAGTTAGGTACTGGTCCTATTTGTTTATTTTATTTTATCTCCAGTCTTGCACTTGGTCCTATTTTAATTATCTCCGAGTTAGGTACTCGGTCCTGTTTGTTTATTTTTATTTTATCTCCAGTCTTGCACCGGTCCTATTTTAATTATCTCCAGTTATGTACTGGTCCTGTTTATTTTATCTCTAGTAATGCAGCGATCCTATTTATTAATTTATAGTTATATTATTCAATCATAATAATATCTATTTGTGAAGATTTGATGATATTGTAGATGGAGGTTGGACCTTGGGGATTTAAATGAGTAAATATCATTGTGAGAGTGATTAAAATTGAGGTTATTTATCTTGACTAGTCACTACAAATTTAATTTAAATCTTCATAAAATAGAATGTGTTGAGGAAGTTGAAACATATATATCTATATATTATAAGATTGTATTATTGTAAATGATAAATGTTCTCACTCCCTATTGTGATATTTTGTGCATGTTTTATTTAAACACCAACTTAAGTAGATGGAGGCACCAAATATTTCAAATCCCTTTTCTGCAAGCATCACTGCCTTCTTTCCAGGAACTACTTGGAACACGAATGTTATAGACAACTCGGTTACTTTTAGAGGGATAGGATTTTCAATAATAACATTTGTATCTAATATGAGAAATCCCATTATGTTAGATGGACTAGTAGTGGTTACATTTTGTATGCCTCCTACCTTTTTCCAAAACCCCTTAATCAGTTTGTTTCCACGGACAATGTAGATACTTGTAAAATTGTAGAAAAAAAAATAGAAGGAATCAAAATAAAATTCCTTCTTCTTTTGTATATCTTATATAGTGATGTAAATTACTTTTACATATATGTAATATTTTTTTTAACCTGCTACTCTTATACAAATAATAATAATAATAATAATAATAATAAAAATGTCACATTAAATGGTATCAGAGCAACGTTTCATGTGTGACTTGTG